GGGTTTCCTTTAAAAAGGAGAACTCCAGGAATTGTAAAAAAAAAACAAAACCTAACCCATGCAGTGTGGGACTACCATCAGTCTAAAATTTCAGATTTTAAGGTGGACCCCACACAAAAAAGTGGGTTTCACACATTGAAGTGCCCCCTTCAAATCAAGATCCCCCCTCCCCTTCACAATAGCCCTCGTTCACACCTGAACGTTTTGTAGCGCGTTCTACGCTCGACGAACGCTCTACAAAACGCTAAAAAATATAAATCCCATTGTATTCAATGGTCTCGTTCCCACCTTGGCGTATTTCCGCCCGTCCCTAACGCGCTACAAAACGGCCCACGCCTGAAAAGGTACAGGTACTACTTTGGGCCGTTTTTTTGCGCGTTTCCATTGGGATACAGCATACAGGGACCAGTCTAGCAGGACCCAGGATTAGGGGGGTAGATCTGCTTTATTTTAGTCTCTAGGCCAAAACAAGCAGTTAACTCTTGCAGTTCATTTTTTTTTACAATTCCTGGAGTTCCTCTTTAAAAGGAAACCTGTGCTGAGGAGTTCCCCTTCAACTCTTCCATCCATTTCTCACCTTCGGACCTGGATTTCTGTTTCCCATCTGCACTTCTTATGATCAAAGATCTTCGCGGGCAGTCGGGTCCGGACGGGTGCTAAACACATAAATTAAGAATTCAGTCGCCAGTTACAATGCAGTAAAAGTTTTTATTTCTTTTCAGCATTATGAGCAAAGATTCCAGTTGTGTCATCAGGTGACGAATATCTCTCATCTGCAAATGGTTCTTTTTATGGCAATATACAGTGATAAAAAAAGCTCCGACTGAACCAGGATGTGAATCTAAAGTGAACCTGTCATTTGCCCATGCAAGAAGTTCACTTTTAATGCCCCTCCTCACTCTCAAGCAGCCCCTACTCTCATTCCAGGGAGCCGGGAGTAAGGAAAGGAAGAACTGTTTGAACTCTGGGCCACCCCCTACCATGTGACAGTACTGGGCCAATAACAAAATCACCAGTGCTGTCACATGGGAGTGTGCCACGTATCTGGGTATTTGTACAAATTGGTGGGGGTGAAAAGAACAATAGGGGCTGCTGGGGGGGCAGTTGGTTTGCCCAGGTTTGCTTTAAGGCTGAACTCCGGGCACGAAAACCTTTCATTTAAATATATTCCACAATAGCCACAAATAATATAAAGCCATTTTGTGTGCACCAAATCCCTTTACCAGAAATGGCTTATGTAGCAGTGACATCATCATTGTGCTGTACATAGCCTGAGGAGCTGTGGGAGGGACCCAACAGGCCCCCACCCACTACAGGCTGTCAGCATAAAACTACAGGAGAGGGCGGAGACTAGACCAGTCACCCTGCACAAGGAGAGAGCAGCAGTGAGCGATCTTTATTACAGGAGGAGGCGGAGACAAGACCAGTCACCCTGCACAAGGAGAGAGAGCAGTCTTTATTACAGGAGGGGGCGGAGACAAGACCAGTCACCCTGCACAAGGAGAGAGAGCAGTCTTTATTACAGGAGGGGGCGGAGACAAGACCAGTCACCCTGCACAAGGAGAGCAGCAGTGGCTGGTCTTTATTACAGGAAGCTCCAAATCTCACACTGGATTACTGCACAGATCTGGAGTAGCATTTGGTGCTGGCAGAGGGTCCCTGTAAACAGTACAGCTGACTGCCTGCTTTACAATGGAAGCGATTTTGGTGGCTGAAAAACAGCCAGATCTCTTCCAGGGGCCAGTAAACAATGCCCCTTACCACCTTGCTTCCCCAGGCTCCGCTGCCCCTCCTATGGGCTCAGGACCAGCATCGTGGGTGTTGGCGGAAAGCAGGGAGAGAGACCATCGAACATCCAATCCTGGCATCGCTTCCGGCTTTCCAGTTGTCATTCCCTGAGTAGAGAATCCTGGGAAGAAGCTATTGAAGCCCGATCTGTGCTTGATCAGCTTCACTGACATGCACAGGGGAGATTAGGCATCCAATAGACCCTTAATGTCACCTTAAAGAGAACCCGTCACCTCCGATGTGCTATCACATAGGGGGCTTGTGAGCTCTCCCATGTCCTAGCAATGAAGTAAAATAAAAAAGTTAAAATACAGAGTGTGGCGACACAAGAAATGGACATCATGCATTGCGGTTCACATTTAGGTTTATCATACATAACAAAACTGCAAAGCAAACCCCAAAAATAATATTTATAACAAAATTCCCACTACATGGCGCCTCACACAAGACAACAATTCTAATCAACCATTAAACACAGTAAACTTGCTAAGCAAAGCGTCACACGGGTTCTGTTCCTTTTATTAACCCCCCAAAAAAGAAAATCTAACACCATGAGGCATATTTCGAGTAAATCTTCCTGATGTCACTTCAGGTGACCATGCTGACCAATGAGTGCTTGCCATTTGCAAGCAAAATTCTAAATACAGAGCACAGGGCTGCACTACACGGCAACATGGGGTACACACAGTACACCCCCACCAGCGGTGGGGAAGGGGCATTTGCCCAAAAGCTTAGTATAGAAAGTATAACAAGGGGGAGGGGGCAGATTGGAGGGGTTAATCCCATTTTCCCACATTCACCTGGGAAAGTGGAATTACCCTTTAACCACCCACAAATGCCACATTCACCCCTATATGTGTTCCTATGTGTACCAGTGGTGCAAGTATGTTGCTTTGGTTTGTTCACATAGTGCCCCAGTACTGTAATCCACCCACAGGGGGGAGAAGGGGCGGGCCCAGACCTCCTAGACTTCTCTGGGTTTTGTGGCTGCGCAGTTTGGAAATAAATCATAGCAGATGGAGCATCTGGAGAAGTCCACAAGGCAGTTCAATAACTTTACATTCAACACAGGTTTTCTCTGAGCTTTAAAAAGAAATAGAAAAAATATGAGATTCCCCAAAGTCGCTGTGCATGGCATCTCTATGGCACAAAATATTTTCTGTTACTGTACTTTAAAGGACATTTTTGGATTGGATTCATACTATAGGCAAAAGTACCCTGCGAAGGCTACAATGTGCCCCCGTTTGGTGTGATTGGCACCACGGCCACCAATCATATCAGTGTAAAATTGCCGGACTCCCAGCAGAACCAGAATGTTTTGTCCCAGCAGAGAGAGGGCTGAAGATTTAATAAATCCGATATGTATACCACTCTAGGGACGTGGTTTCATCAGAGTCTCCGATGGGAGATGCCCGGGTCCTGGTTCGGCTAGTTGCACTTCGCCAATCCGGCCAGAAAAGGGAACTAATCACGGCACTCCGGGCTGCAGCACCTTTCTAGTTATTGAATAGCAGGGATCACCTATGACAGGTTTCAGGCACAAAAACTTTGTCAGTGGTGGCCCTTTGCTGCTCTTCAATGCATACCCCAAAACTGAATTGGTTCCCTTTCTGACAGATGACCCTTTAATCTGACAAAAGGCTTAGTCAACTCAGAGGCATCTTAAAAAGGGATTTACACCCGAAATGGAATTCCTCAATCTGCCTCAACCTTCCTTTATACCATCAGGTTTTCTGTCTGAAATGACAGATTGTAGTGCAGCCAGACATCTGCTGGGGGTCGTCTATGATTATCTCGTATGTACAGGCAGTCCCCGGGTTACGAAGAAGATAGGGACTGTAGGTTTGTTCTTAAGTTATATTTGTATGCAAGTTGGAACAGGTACATTTTTTAAGTATAACTCCAGCCCAAATAAATAGTTTCTTGTTTTGGATAGCATAGGGAAGGGTGAACCCCCCTGTAACGTTTGTTTTGCTGTGTGCGCCCCTGTTCAGAAGATTTCACCTCACTTTCTCTCCCTGAGACAATTGGATTTTGAAAATTTTGGGTTGTCGTGGAAAGAAGGATTGGCGATGAAGCTTCAGTGGAGACACCTTTTTCCCCCATGATAACTCACAGGAGTGCATTTCCCTTCCTAAGGGTAGATTTCCCCTCACTTCCTGTTGTCTCAAGGACAGGAAGTGAGATTCAATCTTTCAAATGAGGATACAGACAGCAGTAAAAACCTCACTGTGACCCGGAAGAAGAGGCGGGCACCCCTCGTCTGCCCGTCTAAAAAGAGCCAACTTCCTGTAATGTACGTACAAGTACTACGAACCTGACCCAAAAAGGCGGGCACCCCTCGTCAGCACGAGCGCGGTAGCATTACAATTACTGAAATGCTGCGCGGTACACTTTGGCTGCAGCCTGGGACCTCCTGCTGTATAGTAATAGCCCCTGTTTGTAAGTAGGGGTCGTATGAAAGTCGGATGTTTGTAACTTGGGGACTGCCTGTAAATGGCCAGATAGCAAGCCAAGCAGGGTAAAAAAAACAAAAAACCCCACAATGGGATGAACACCCTGCTGTCCACAGAGATACAACATCAGTTTACTACACAGAAGGGAGACCCGTACACAGAAGAATTCACATTTAAACTGCAAACCTGTCATGAAAAAAAAAAAATACAAAGGCTGCTACTACCGGAATACACCTGACAGGCACATAGCATTATCATGCTGATCCTCTGGTTTCTGAATAACTGACCCGGAACAAGCCTGCAGATGGTGCTATCGGACCTCCTAATCTGCATACGGGTTTTGTAAAATACTAAAGCCAGACAACGGGAATTTTCAGAACGGAAGCCAGCAATGGCAGCCTAGGCCTCTCTCATGATTGGTCTTTTTTAAAGCAAAGCTTTCCTGAGGGAAACATGGGGGCCACCACTGCTGACCACCTTCTGTAGGGGCTAGTTGCATGGCTATGACTTGGTACAACTGTGCAGAAGTAAAGTCAGAAGTCGTGATCTGCACACTTGTCCCAGGTTAGTGACTAAAAGTACTGTAGCAATGTCTACATGACAGCCAGACGAGGAAGTAGCAATGGCAGCCTCCACCTTTCTCTCATGAAAGGCTTCCTTTAAGAATGGAGCCCTTTTACAGGCTGTATTGAGGTATAGTGGAAGGTTCTAGCGGGGGAACAAGCCCTTTTCTCTTCATGTCTACCAGGAAGATCCTCAGTATTTCATCTCTGTAGCTTCTGATGTTTCATGCTCATGAAGGGGATCCTCCATAACCCCGGTATCTGTAAGCTCTTCCTGACCACCAGGGGCGCACATTTCACTATCCCCGGTCATCTTTATTTCAGAGGCGTCTTCAGAGCTCATAGTCTCCGGGGGAGCAGCAATTGTGGAAGAACTGCATGCCGGCAAGTCTTGATTTTCACAGGAACTGTCTGCTGTAGCAGTCACTGCCTGACCTTCAGAGGCCTCCAGACCAGCGCTGCTACTTCCTGGGGCCTCATCCTGCTCTTCTAGGAAAGGATTCTGACCCTGCAAAAAAAATAAAAAAATATGGAGGTGATTTTTAGGTTTCATTCACACAAGAAAAGGCCGGCATGTACAGCTCCGTGCAGGGCCATATCGGGCAGCTCCCGGGAACGACAGGTGCTGCGTGTGATTAGTACACAGCCCCCGTCCTTCTCTATGGGAGTACGCGGCCATACGCCCCCCCCCCAAGTGCAGGTCCGTACGGGTGCGGGTGTCCAGGCTCAGACAGGATCCATCCCGTCAGCGTACGAGTACGGACGTGCAGGGCAGGTGAGCGTAGGGCGACGTACGGCGGCATACTCTCAGAGAAGGGCAGGGGCTGCAGTGACGTGCTCCGGTCGCACCCCCGCTTTGCTACTTGCCTATTCACAGAATGCCTTGAGGGGAATTTATCAAAACTGGAGCAGCTTTGCACAGCAACCAATCAGCTCCTCTCTTTCATTTTTAAATCTTAACTGTACAAACCGAAGAGAGAAGCTGGTTGGTTGTCGTGCACAGCTGCTCCAAATTCTGTTTGCTCCAGTTTTGATAAATTCACCCCCTTGTATTTTTGTCAAACAAGGCATTCTGTGATTGGCAGAGAAAATATTGTCACATTTCGCCTCTTCCTCCAATCAGATAAAATACTTGCCCGATCACAAAATGCCTTGTATCAAGATGGGGTGGGAATGTGACCGAAGCACTTTACCGGTCGAGTTGCATCCCACACCCCCTGCAGTGCCCGGAAGGTGAGAGTTGTGTTAGAACCGGTATGATGCAAGTAAGATTTTTATACTTTGCAGCATCCCTCCACACATAACATACATCTTTATAGTGACAATTTACACACCCAGCGTATTGTGTAAATTATCGTTTTTTTTCATGGAGTTTGGCTTTAAGGACCAGTGCTATTGGATTACTACATCTTCACACTGGCTGCAATGTAGTCATGGTAGGAGAGCTTCTCTCTATTCATTGGACATATCAGATGAGATCCTCCATGTGTACAGGAATATGTAAAGACATCATCATCACCTTTATATAGCGTTCCAGCTTTTGACTGATCAGCTTGTTATTCAGTATGCTCCTTGCTACCGTCAGTGCCGTCTTCTTAGAGTTCTCCATCATGTTCTGAAGTAAAGATAAGAAAATGGTGATGACTTAACCCCTTTGTTCTCAGACTCTGTTCACAATTGATCTTATATGACATTTCCTAAACTCACTAGTGAAGATCCAGGCAATCTGAAGGCCCCAAACGGCTGAAAAACTGAATGTTCTAGCATTATCTGCCATGTGCAAGGTCTGCAAAGTCTTACAGTTGTTCTGCAGCTTGACACCCACATACACCCGCTCTGTCCTTTATTCATATACCCCACAATCATCCTCCCACTAAGGCTGGCGCCACATGGCGATCAAAGTGTATCCAATCCCAAGAAGAAAAATGAAGGATTGTGTCTTTATCCCTCGTCTACAGAGCTGAGCTCCACAAAGGGGACTCACCCTGCGGTTCTGGTTGTGTGGCGGGGTTCGGATGTGTCGCTGTAAAGCTGAGAAGTTCATGGGGATGAACATGTCACAAGCAGCACAATGAGCGGCCTCCACCTTCTTCACGAAATGCTCCATTCCAAACTCTGCAATAGAGAAAAAGACACCTTCTTGTATAGCCATAGAGCAACTTCATCTTCTCCTCTGTACTATACTGAATGGATCCTGGGGGTGCAGTACGCCTCTGAAGCATTACAACAATTCTAACACCTTAACCACTTCAAGACCAGGTGTTTAGACCTCCTTCCTGGCCAGGCCATTTTTCAGTATTCAGCGCTGCGATACTTTGACTGACGTTTATTCCGTCATGCAACGCTGTACTGAAATGAATTTTATACCATTTTTTGGGGAAACCATTTCCCGCTCGCCTCACGGCGCGCGCAAGGGGGCGTGTCTGAGCGGACGTCTAGAGACGCCCGCTCAGATCGAGAGAGCTCCTGGCCGGCCGTTTTTTTACTACGGCCGGCCCGGAGGTAGTTAAAGGAAACCTGTCATGCAAGCCAACACCGGTATGCTGCTTTGGCTTCATTACGGTCTGAATGTGACATATTTGTTGTGAAGTCATTTTGACAGACACCTTCCCAGAAGATAATTTGAGCATTTAGTATATTTCATGCATGTTATTTACCAATAAAAGCCTCCTTGTGTAGACATCCAAAAGCCTGCTGCTGTGCAGCGCCATCTTTGATGTGAAGTTAGCAGCCCCAGCAGACTCAGAGCAGTCACTCAAGTGACCCTCTATAGCACCCGTTCTCAACCTTTTTACCCTAGAGGAATGCTTAAAATGTTTTCCAGGTCTCTGGGAGCCCCTGCAAAAACAGATTCCTCGGATGTCAATCGGAAATATGCTCCTTTAATTGGCCGTCAGAAAGAACGCTCCCCCTATAGTGCTGTCCAGAATGCCCCCCTACAGACAGCTTAAAAAGAGCTTTAGGGTCATACGGCTGGCTCTTCCAAAAATGGCATTGGCCCTGGAACTCTGCAGATACCATCAGATGGGACAAAACACCTAAATGATTGCACCACTCCTTCACAGCACACAAGCAGGGGGAATCCAAGTGCGCTCAGGCTGTAGATCATCCTCACTTCCAAGTTAGCTGCCATCAAAACAATAAAACATCCGGCTGCACTCCATATGTCACTGGAAACGGCCTTCTGTAAAAATATTATCAAAGATTTTTAATAAAAAGGTTCCCAAGTTACATGTGGAGTACGGCCGGATATTTTATTGTTTAGTAAACAAAATCAGATGGGAGCTCAACTGTCCACAGCTCAAGGAACCCCCTAGCAACCTCTGGAGGAACCTGAAGGTTCCACAGAGAAGGGCTGCTCTAAAAATGATGGCTGACAAAGATCAGAGTTACAATAGGTTTTGTTCTTCTCATTTTCTGGGAGTCAATCCTCCAAAATGAAGGCTGGCCATACATGCTGAGATTTCTCTTGTACAGCCTTGCGGGCTGAATAAAAGAAATCACTTGAGGAATCTGCACTGCCAGCTATTGTATTCACGCAGCAGATGACACCCGTGGCTGCCTGAATACCTGACCAGTGATTGCATCTGAGAGGAGGACAATTTTCCACATGGCTCCTTTGATTTTAAAATTAACTATTGTGGAGTCAGGGGTGCTTATAGGGCCATCCATGACTCAATTTCAGCAATTTAGCAGTAATTAGGTGAATAGCTAGCTTAAAGATGAACTCCAGGTATACATTTTTTTATAATTACTTAGACTTGTCCAGCTTGGTCCAATGTAAATATATATATTTTGTACCTGGAAGGGCCATGAGAGATCCTGTAGCCGTTGCTGGTACACTGCTGTAGTGGGCTTCTGGGTCCTGGTACTGCCAGTGGCTTTTCCCTCTCCTGTGACATTACCACCACTTGTCCAATCAGAGAACACCTAGTATTAGCAGAGAAAGATACTAGGCGTTCTCTGAATGGCTGCTGTGCTAAGTGAGTGACCCCCCTGTGCTTTCAGAGCAGAGCGGAAGCCACTCAGCACCGTAAAGGAGTCAGAAAGACCTCCAGCTACTACAGTGCTCCACACTGTCTACAGGATTCTCCGTGGCCCTTCCAGGTACAAACTTACCATGCTGGACTTATTTAAGAATACGTCAATACTGTCCCTGGAGCTCAGCTTTAAATTAGTTTTAAATATATTACAAATATGATCTTTTTTTTTAAATTGTTGCCATTTTCAGATGTCTTCAGGCTGCTCACGTGACGTGCTGGGTCTTCTTCCTCTTCGTCTATTCTCTGGGCCAAGGCATCCTCAAATGCAGTGCCATTTGCTTCAGTACTCTTATAAATGAAGGGTGCCGTGGTGGCCCCCCTCTTAGGGGGTGGGGCCGTAACCACCATTAATTTGTATGAGGTCCTCCGTCTTCCAGGTTAAACGACGCTGAGCATCATTCAACCCAAAAGACGGAAGGCATCTTGCGGTGGGAATAGAAATACTGCAGGGGACAATTCCAGAAGTGAGTATTGCAGCCTGAACTGCATTTTTTATTTTCACTCTGTCTGTGGGTCCATATAAACCACCCCCCCCCCCAAAAAAAAAAACTAAAACATTGTCAAGAGTTGGTCTTTAATCATACCCATCTGATAAGACATCACTTGTCTGATGCTGCTACTGATGCTGCCAGCCTACTGCAAATTGCTCCCTCCTGATAAGCAGGTCCCAGCCCCCTCCTCTCCCATTTCCCTTCCATTGAAATAAGCCTTTGAAGTCAGCAGACCCTCCAGAATACTCTGCCCTTATGGTGGACATCATACCTGCACTCAAGTCTATGGTAACTTGCTCAGCTCCCTGTGACCTATGCTCAAAGATAATAAGAGATAAGAAACCTATAGCTTTACCTTGGGTAAGGTCCTGGTCCCGGTAAATTTGCTGGATTGTGGTGCCGAGGTCTTCAATAACATTACGTCTTACCTCAGTCTTCTTTGTCTTGTGTGATATATATTCCTGGAGAAGATGAAGGGAACAAGAGGCATTTAATTCTCTTGTTGGAACTTCACGGTCACCTAATTAACTCTTTTACTGCCCAATGGGAAAACATTAAATTGGCTCCATACAAAAACGGGAGCTGACCAGAAAACATTTGTTGTTTCACTGAACGCTGGCAAATATGTGCCCATTTCTTGAATCGGTAATTCAGTGAGGCAGAAAGATTCAACATGTTACAACACCGCTCCTACAGGACTACCTAAGAGGTGCCCATACACCATACATTGGTGGAAATCTTCCACCAATGGTCTTTCGAACGATAATCGGAAAGTTGAGGGGACACAAACAATATTTTTTTACAGTAATCCCTCGAAGGGCGAGACTGGAAAACTTTTTTTTTTTTAAGCGTACGAAAAATCGATTGTTTAGTGGCAGTTTCGTACGGAAAAAAAAACCCGCAGCAAGAACGCTGCACATGTGCAAAAGAAATCCGTTCTATCGAACGTCAAAATTCGGTGAGTGGGTATTGCTTACGAACGAATGGGCCTGAAGGAACATTTTGAAGTGGACCTCTGACTTTACAAGTCTGTACGAAGACATTCCTAACACGTCCCAATATACAGAAACCATATCACTTTATAAAGAGAAGCCATCCTTGAGCTCCAGTTTAGTGACATTGCCTAGGCCGAGATAATGCCATCAGTCTGCTGCAGGCAGGAGGAAGCATTTCCACAGTCTCCTCTCCCTCAGGGTTCAGACTGCAAAAATTGTAACTTTGTAACAAGTCACAAAGTCAGAGGCTGCAGCAGGGGCTGATCTGTGTTAGACATTTATAACCACAGCCAAGAACTGCACAGACATCAGAATTTACAGGACTGTTATCTCTGAGCCAGCATCTCAGTTGGGTATTTAAATGCCAACCCTGAATGATGCCTGAACAAAGATGGTCACATGCTTCTGGAGAGCAAAGCAGATGAATGCCTTGGGGTCAATTCACAAAGCTTATTTTCTTAATTTCGGACATTATTTCATTGATATCGCTTGTTATATAGTTGCTGTGTAAAGGTAGTCAATTCACAAAACTCTTATTTTTAATAAGTGGCAAATTAACTATTCAGACGTTATTTTAACAACTGGAGTGATAAAATATGCTTGAAATGCAATTCACACTAGGAAAAAGGTCCTTTTATCACTCGTTATTGAGACGTAGATTTATCACCTCCTTCAGGGTGGCGTTATGACAGATTTCAGGCGTTATCTGATGCTTGCTGCACTGAGATGACGTGAGGTAGATAGAAATGGAACTTTTTCTTCATTTTCACATTGCTTAATGCTTCTGCGTACAGAAGGCGGCGGCGGCATGTAGTTGTCATTTCTACAGTTTTTATCCTTCTACAAATGTGGATGATCTTTTACAGTTAGAGGTTAGTGGCAAATCTCACATGATATGAAAAATCAAATGTCCCTGGACACCCTCCCTTGTAGAGCCCTTGTAGAGCAAGTGGATTGTTCCATGCAACATATTTAATATCAAGACAGGCTTTATAGGTGGTAAGGAGAATTGCTTGCCCTCCCTACACTGTCTCATTGTCAACAGATGTAGATCTAAATAAATCTAATGTTTCAAATATTCATTCCGTTCAGAAATGTTTTATTGTTATTTCTATATGATTTCTTCTCTGCCAAATGTAAAATGAGTATGCGTGTGGTGGATATGGAATATATTCTTTCCTTATATGTGGAATCCTTTTGTGTGGTGAAAGTAACAGTCATTTAGGCATCTGCTCCACCCCTTCTGCTACCAAAATGCACTGCAAAGGTGTTAAAATAACACCCAAAACGTTATTTTATCACAGTAATAGATAAAATAAAGTCTGTGATGTTAAAATAACACTTGCTTAAGGAACGTTAAACTGCGTGTGCATTCACGATTCCGGCTTTTGTGAATTGCATGTTTCAGCCAGTAAAATAAAGAGTGGTAAAATAAGGATAAATTAACTTCTACTCTAATAACGCGGAGCTCTGTGAATTGACCCCATTGTCAGGAGAAGTACTCTGATTTCTGAGAGAGGTAATAGATACTTGGAAGTCTTTCCCTTACACATTACTTCGCATGCATGCACTCCAACATGAAAAGTACATCTGATGATGGGTCACTTCAGGGTAATGACAGACATCAGATTTCGGACACATGCAAGCAGGATTGGACCATCTAAAGATCCTTCTGTAAAGAGTGCGGGTTTACATAACCGGTAGGGGAGCAGAATCAGATCCCTTTATTTATCTTACTGGGAAACAAGAGAGCTGAAGCAAGAGGACATCTGGAGAAACCAGGGCCAGCTTACTGACATACAAATCGTGTCCAGACCGGACCATAGAGAGCAAAATTGGGTGAAGACCATTCTAGGTGGGTCAGTATATGTAACCTGATGAGATAACCGAATGATAGATGCACGATGGAGGGTCATGTCTACCTGCAGGAAGTCAGCTGACTGCTTGGGAAGTTTTCCTCCCACAAAGCGGTAATGCTCCTTATGGAATTCGCTCTGTAGGTGGCTGGTCATCTCCTCACTGTAGAAGGTGCGGAACTTACACAGAGAACACACAAACTGGATCCTGTAACAGAGACAACTTTGATTAGATCTACTGGTCTAGAGTAGTGATGGGCGCATGTTCGCAGCTCCATGTGCCGAGCCCGCCAGTAAGCCGACAGCGCGCAGCGCCAATCACAGGTACCGAGACATTTCCCGATCTCTGCAGCTGCGGACCGGGCACATGTCTCAGTACCTGTGATTGGCGCTGCTAGTCTAGAGTCCTCTCTGTTTTCCCATAGTATAAGGTCACCTACCTCTCCACCATCCTGTCTCGCTGGCGTCTGCTCTGGACTTCTTGCTGTTTCTTGGCTGGCGTTTGTTTCTGTTCTGTAGAATGATGAATAACTGAACCAATTGAACAAATCAAACTTAAAAGGATAGGTTCACTTACTGACCCCCTGACCTACTCTCGACCTCATCAGATGCATATCTGCCTCAAGTCCCCCTTTCCTGACCACGCCTGCGCATTACAGACCCATTGACTTCTATGGGGACGTGTCCCAAGGCCGGAGACAAAGGGAGATGACCCCATAGAAGTCTATAAGGCTGTAATGTGCATGCGCGGCCAGAATGTAAACCAACTAAAGGCAGCGGCCCTTGCATTGAAGTCTGCATCTGTGAAGTGGGAGGGTCAGGGTAAAAGGGGCAAATGCAATAAGTGCACTTGTTTATAACAATATTCACCCTCATTATGTGAATCAAATGTTGATCACACCAGAAAACTTTATATTTCTCCATAGAGGAAGTCTGGGCTTTGCCCATGCAAGCAGGTGTGCTTAATCTCCTCCCAACCCCAGAAGCATATACAAAGCAAATAATAATTTTCCAAATTCCCTCTTCCTTCCCAGTAGCATATCAAAAGTATATGATATGAGTATATTATATTTTAGCTTCAACAACTTCCAGCAGGTTCACGTAAACACACGTCATCCGCTGGAAGAGGTTATACCAAGATATATGCTGCTGCAGCCGTGTACTTGGTACCGTTTTAACCTTCCTGACGGTAATCCAGAGTGTGGCTCGGGGTTAATTTTCAGTACCAAAAGCGGTAAATCACTGTACACATTCTCTGGCTACTAGAGGAGACAGCAAGTGGTTAATGCTGCATACCCTTGTCATCCTTGTCTGTCTCTTCTGCCTCCTCTTGTTTGTCCTCAGCCTCCTGAAAGAGAACATGAGTAATGACATTGTATAGATAAACTATGATGTACGTTCGTTCGTTCAATACACATTTCCAGCTAATTCTAAAATGTTAACTTGATTGCCGAATGCTATCAGAGCTGACACATTGTTGATGATGCCACTGCTCCCTCTCAGGTCAGTGTTCGGGACTGGCGACAGTCCGCTAAGGCCTGAACATGGCATGCTGATTGGTGGTCACATTTTCCTCCATACCCAGACGGACCCAGTATTCTGCAAAGGCTCCGATTAAGCACTGCGCAGCGGAGGAAAGGGGGGTGGGGGTAGGGCAGAGAAGGACCGGGGCAGTAGCGGAGGTGCGGGGGAATGCAGTCACATCGGTCTCTCCTCCCCGCACGGCTGCAGTGGTCTGTGTCCCCGCTGCCTCTGCCGATACAGGCGGGGAGAGCTGTGGGGATTGAAAGGGTCACAGACCGCTGCAGCCTCCACCAGCAGGGAGGAGAAAGGAGGAGCAGAGGCAACAAATCCATGAAGAATATCCATTAGTTGTTGCAGCCCTAGATTCCAGACCATCTAAAATCAACGGATCAGAATGACAGCCCAAAAACCCCCAGATGGTCTTCTGATCCTGAGGACGGGATAGACCATAGTGCATGCTCTCCTTCCCCTGAGCCCTGTACATGGATTCCTACTGCAGAGGCATGTAAACACCAACTCCACCGAACTCTCACTGTAGTCTGACGGGCATTTATTCTCCAATAGTAAGTGCATTACTTTTTTATTTATGAAAATGTTTTGATGCCACACTTAGGTTGTGTGTTCTTATGCTTTTTACTAGTACCTTTGGATTATTCCCTAGCGTTTACATTGGGTTCACAAGCTTACAGATGCAATGTAAATGGGACTAGGATTCCCCATCCCCTGACCTACGAGACCCGGTTGTGAAACGCCGTGATAGACGTATAGAGTACGGAACAATGTTTTGGCACGTGGAGAAATTGATAGATCCTGTACTATGCCAAGTACTGTAAAGCTTTTCAATGCTAAATGATACTTCTACCAAGAGTCTGACAGATTGTCACTCCAGCTCAGTATGCTATGGATCTTACAGTCATGGTGCTGGTTTCTGCTCCTTCTGCATGTTCTCCATCTGAAAGAAGACACAGATTGTCAAATTACTACAATACAGTGGTTTGTCCCGTACTACATAATGCTGTTACTGAAAGACTGTAGAGACCTGTTAACAGGTTTGTCTATCAAAGTCCATGAGGTCAGTTAAATTGACTATAGACGAGCTTAGTGAACAAACCCTCCCCATCAGCTAGAAGTGGTCCACAGGACTCTTTCCTTCTTTTCAGTCATCCTCTGGATCTCCAAGCTTCCATTAATGTGCGTCTCCTGCCATATCCACTGAACTATGAATCAAAGATGACCAGGCCACCCAGATATGACTCACAGTTGAGCAACAGACCAATTATCAATACCTTTGAGTACCGCAAACAAGCACTTCTAAAATCAGGATTGCAAGTTATCACAGATTTCTGTGAGTGACCTGGCCAACCCAAGCACCCAAGGCATTGCTTAGGTACGTCAGTAAGCCACTCAAGACAAATTGGTAGGTAGAAGTAATACAGAAGATGGACAGAGGACTCCCTGTTGGTCAATTTTGGTGTTGACCTGAGAGGAACACAGATCTCCACTGATATGCTACGTGCATGCACACAGCTGACCCCCAGTAGCAACTTTTATTGGCTTCTACTGAGCGGGTTATGCCTCAGGTATCCACGGCTCCACTTTTGAAACAATTACTCGTTTTATTTTGATGATCTTCAGGTGCCTTGTAATTGATTTTCGGAAAATATTTTGCATGGGGTTATAACTGGTGGTCACCATAAGCCCTCATTCACATGACTAACAGCCAGCCCATACAGATCCATGCACTGACGTATCGGGCTACTGCCAGGAAGGATAGGTGCCTGCGTGTGAGTGTATGCAGCAGCTTGTTCTCTATGGGAGTACACGGCCACATGCTCACCCGAACTGCACATCTGTGTGGGTGCCCGTACTCATATATGCTGACAAGATGGATCCCGTCTTTGTCCGAGCAGGGACACCCGCACCCACACGGACGTGCAGTTTGGGTGAGCGTACGGCGGTTTATTCCCATAGGGAAGAACAGGCTGCTGCGTACAATCACATGCAGCACCTGCCCTTCCTGGGAGCGCCCCGATATGGCCGTGCACGCCGCACGGATCTGTATGGGCCGGCTGTTAAGTCATGTGAATGAGGCCTTATGGCTTTCAGCCAAACAAGAGAAATGGGTTACAGGTCTAGTTGTGGCTATGTGAATTATCTCTAGTGGGTATCAGATTCAGGTATTCCACTGCAGGTCTCTACCCCGTACACAGCTGAGCGAGGCATTTCAAAGCCATGGGTGGCCAAACAAAAATGGAGTGACCATACCTTAGAGCTCTAGGTTTGTCATTAAATGGTCATAGAAAGAAACTAAGAGGCGTAAACTTATAATGTGTACATATTGTAACATGGGCACACAGGAAGCCATGTTGTTCTCTTATTCTGTAAAATAAAGGTGAATTGAAGTTCATGGTTTTAGTACAAAGAGTCTAACAGCATATATACCCCAAGTTATACATTTTGGGGGTCTAGTTAGCCAAGATAAAAGGTTGACAATGGAACCAGACTAAGATAAATGAAGATGCGATACAAAAAGGAGAAAGATCTATTCACCAACATATATAATATTTGTTCTTCTTTCCTCAAACTTTCTATACTCTATTGTCTTAAGATAGATGTTTATTAAATGTCTGGATCTTCAGACTAGTCGTTAGCCATCTCTTAAATTGATGCATCTCTACTAATCCTGGGCAAAGAGGTCATCTAATGACTTGGTTCAGAAATGTTAAAGTAAAATGCAAAATTATTCCTAGACTAAATATTTCCACCCTCAGATAATTGTGGGTATAAATAATTTGGAGTAAATGTGAGATGAGAAGTGGCGTCATACTTGAGACAAGATCGTCCTTTCCCCTCCCAAAAATTGGGTGAACAAAGCTTGGGAATGAGACGGGTGGTGAATTCACCAGGAAAGAACCAAGGGAAGAGACTGAGAACACTTCTGTTCATATTGACCAGGGCTGAATATCATTGTCTCAAACTAAAGAATCTCCAAATTAGTGGTAAAGTACAGATCTGTAAGCAACTTATTGTTAGCCATATACATCAGACTAAATCATTTAAGCGGAGCTCAGCCTCCTGTGACAGCTGTCAGGATGGAGAGCGGGTACAAGCAGTCGGTGATCAGTGATCGCTGAGTGTTTGTAGATAATTGAGGACAGAGTATGGTTACTATATCCTCAATTATGAATGAATGGGAAGTGATCTACATCAGCTCCTGTTCATCCATGATTGCGGATATAGTAAACATACTCTGTCCTCATGTTGTGAATGATCAGGAACACTCAGTATAGAGGATTCCTGGTCATTTATAACAGGGGCTGCAGAAAAAGAGATTGAGGACTCTGTGTTCTCAATCTCTTTTTCCATTTTAAAAAGGGAAATATCAGGGGTCTGTTTAGACCTCCCAATATTTCCTCGAAGCCCCTAAAAGTAAAAAATAAAAATATTTAATAAAAATGAATAAAAACAATTAAAAGATTTTATATAAAAATATTTTAAATAATTTGAAAAATTTGACTAAAACATTTTCGGCCTGACATTTTTTTCATTTCAGTTTTGAAATGTTCATGTCTGTGCACCTCTACAAAGCATCATACTTACTGAGTAATTGCATTGCATATTTTCAACCTTATTTGTTATCACCTGTATTATTTTTATCATTAAATTTGTATTGGATTTTATAGTTACTATTATACGGTTTTTCGGTAACAAGTACCAGTACTCGCCGATAGCCAACACAGATACCGGAAGTCCCATTAAGAAAGCTGGGCGGTGTGTAATGATTCGCTGCGCAGCTTCCCCATTAGCCGGGAAGCAGTCTCTATGCTCCCTCATCACCAGGTGAAGAGGAAGCATAGAGCTGCCTTCCCGGCCAATCAGGAAGCCGTGGCATGTTAGTCAGATCAGGAGTTCTGACAGGTCTGCCTCAGCTATACATCTGTACATTTCCAGGAGATGGACAATAGCTGGGCAATGGGAGCACTTGCATATTTAACGCGATCTCCCAGCAATACACTCCACTTTGTCTTCACACATCAGCATCTCACCTCCTTCAGATTCCGACTCTTCACATTTTGCCCCGCTATCTTCTGTGCTTCCCTTAATCTTCTTCTCTGCTGGTCCTCCTCCTCCTTCTGCTTCCAGCTTTTTCTAAAAGTAAAAGAGGCAATTTGCTTTACATGTTTGTATCTTTGTTCTCTGCTCAGCTCAAATCCCTCATTAAATTAAAAGGCCCATGCTTGCTTCCTGTCCTGCTAATGTATGTACTTTATCTTTCCAGAGTCTTCTGGACTTCTGCTTGAATCCTCCTCCGAAGTATGAGTTGCCAGTGAACGCCCTCAGTCCCTGGAAGCCAGCTAGATCTTTGAATGTTCCTTGGTTCAGGAGTGGCATGGGATGACCAGGTCCTCTAATGGCTGGAGGGGGCCTGTAGTTACCTCCGAGTCCTCCTCTTGCATTTCCCCTCCACCCCAGCTGAGAAGAGTGGGCAGTCTGCTGGGCTCTCCAATTGCCATATCCTCTCTCTGGCTCAGAGAACCCATATCCGCCCCGATCCATTCGATTGTAGGGACCATAGCTGTTGGAGGGAAATTACAAGGGGAAAACATTTTAGAAATTGGCCAAGATGTCTCTATAAGAAGAAATAAAAACAGAAGTTAGGTACCTAGGAATATATTTTCCATGCATCTTCCAGGACAGTACAAGAGAGAGGGCATCTGCCAAACAGGAAATGGATCATCCACAATTGGAATAAAAAGGGGCCATCATGCCTAGCCACCTCAATATTAAAATAGAACTGAAGGCAGAAGAAGAACATTTAATACAAAACCGAAACAACCCAAAAATAAAAAAAAAGGGGGGAATCCCTGCTGCCCTGGAAGATTCATGGAAAAGATGTTACCAGGTATCTAACTTCTGTTTTTCCAATTCATCTTCCAGGACAGCACAGGAGAGGATAGGCTAGAAACACCTTATGGTGGGGGACAACTGTCAAGAGTACCTTGCTGCCGAAAGCTTGATACCGGCAGGAAAGGAGGTCAACTCTGTAGTGTTTCACGTAAAACTGGTCCAAGCAGCTGCCTTGCAGGTCTGGTCTGGCGAGGCCCCAGCTTTCTCAGGCCAAGAGGAGACTGAAGCTCTAGTGAAATGTGCCTCTGGAAGATTCAAGTGAAGAGATTGATAGGATGAAGCTATAACTCGTCTGATCCACCTGGCTATTAGTATTTTAGGAGGCTTTGCAGTCTTTCTTAGGACAAAAAGGATTCTTGGATTTCCTCCAAAGGCAAGTGATTTCTAGGTCATGTAAAGGTGGCCATACACTCTACAACCATCGCAAGACTTTAGTCTTGCGATGGTTGTAAAGGGATTAAAAAAAACGTACGATCTGCCTATCTTGGACAGGCAGATCGCACTCTCGATCATCGCAAGCCCGCTCCCCTGAGGGGCGGGCTTCCGATGACCGCAATGCTGAACGGGCAGTGTACGCGTGCGCACACCGGCCCGTTCAGCATTTATCTTCCGAGCACCGTTCTAACCAGCCGAGAATCGTACGATTCCCGGCTGGTTTTCGAACATGCTGGTTCGACAGAAGACGTGCGACCGTACAGTAGAAACGGTCGCACGTCTCCGTTCACACTGCTCGATTATCGTACGAAAAACCGATCGCATGCGATTATCGTACGATAATCGTGCAGTGTATGGGCACCTTAAGAGGCACCTTTTAACAACCAGATGGTGAAAAGCTTGTTTCTTTCTGATTGGATAAAAAAGGAAGAGAAGGTGAAAGTGTCAAAAAAAAAAAAAAAGCACGATCGCACGTCTCAGGTATCGCCGAGATCTGCAACAGCCCTTAGGGCCGGTTTACATCAGCTCCGGTGAGTTCCAGCATGATTTCGTTGCTGGAACGCACTGGAGCACATTCCAGCCAGCTTCCTGCATTAGGGGCTGGGGGGGGGGCGTTGTGGTGCTTTGGAAGTCAATAGCACCACAGTGCGATTGAACGCAGCATTTTTTCAGATTGCACTGGACCTGAACGCAGGCACTGATATGCCATGCGTTCTAGTGTAAGCGATCGCACTGCGGGAGGGGTGTGTGGCTATGGTGCCATTGACTTCAATGCACGCCTTCTCCTGCAGGAAGCTGGCCGGGATGCGCTCCAGTGCGTTTCAGCAGTGAACCATGCCGGAACGCACTGGAGCTGCTGTGACCCGGCTCTTAGCCTAGAGGCTTCACACCAGTGCAATCAGAAGTCCAACACCTGCATGTGGTAATGAGGATGCATCAAACACCAGTTTGTCTATGCAGTGCTTATGCATAGATTTGATGTGGGAAGCCTGTTGGTAATTGTTGCAAAAACCATTTTATATTACTAGTTTGACATAGGAATAGGCATATCGTGTTTATGTCGGTTAGGACTATTGCCTAAAACATAACACAAAGAGCCCTGATGCAACCACAGAAGGCTGTTATCTCATGTAAACCAGATCTACATGGTGTAGCATTGTTGACCAGGGGAAGCCTGATAGAACACTCCTGGGATTTAAGGGGAAGCTCCAGGTTCATGACCACTGACAGCTCCATCGCCACCCGCTTGCACTCCCTCCATGGTGTCTGTGGACATCGGCACCAGTACCGACAACTCCACCCCACTGCTGTTGATTTGAGGAGGCCCTTGTTATAGAGAGATACTTGTCAACACAGGCCCCACGCAAAAGGAGCTGTTACAACTGCGAGAGCCCCATCCAACAAGAGCCAGGAATGCCTCAGGACCAAACCCCCCTCTACTACTTACTTAGCAGCATACAAAGGGTGCATAGCTGACCACTAGCGGCTCCCCCCTTACCCAACACCACCAGAGGCAACACAGGGGAGAACTCAGGACCTGAGCAAATGTGATTAATGGAGGGCTCAACTAGAGCCTCTGTGCCAATGGGTATAATAGTTTGTAAATGAAGGGATCTTTGAGAAAAAAAAAAAAAAAAAGAAGGTTTACGGGGAAGAAGGGTCCAACAACTAAAAAAAAATTCTAGCCAAGACAAGCCCAAGCATGCATCCCCTCCATGTCCACTGTCCCTGAAATCACGGAGGAACATATACTGGGAAGCCCCTGCAACTAGCACAAAGGCCTATTGAAAAATAACAAAATGGTTTTTGATGTTCCCGTTAGGCCAGATGAAACCCAATAACTGGAGGTGGCTATGAGTGAGGGCCCCTTTTATTTATTATGCTTTAGGTGGATGGATCCCATCACTCCTGTGATGTCCTGGAAGATGAATAGGAAATTTTTTTTTACATTTTAACAAATTGCAAGCTCCTCTATAATGAAGTGACCCTGATACTGTCCTCCTGTCACTACTACGATTGCTGTGCCAGTCAATGTATCAGAAGGTCACCACTGAAATCAGTCAGACCAACACAGAATATTTGCAGTAAGGAGAGGAGATTGCAATGGAAAATATTCGGTGGATATACAGTGTCTTCAGCATTTGCCAAAACATGACATAGAAAGTTCTCCAATTAACCTGCACCCAAAAGTAAATTAATACTGGAGGATTAGAGCAATTTCATACAAAAGTACAAGGGCCTCAATAGCTTTAATGTGTTTTGGAAGTAATTAAGTGTAACCCTTTGCCTCTGCTAAGCAGAAGACCTCCTTTGCCCTGCCTGGTCTGTATGAGGTCAGCACTGCATCTACACGGGACAAAAAGGAGAGTTGGGTTTCTATTCAGGGAAGGAGATGAGAGTCTGTGCCAATAAAGCCAACACCTACAGCGAAGACCCTGCCCTTCCTTGATGTAAGAACACTATACAAACACACTATGGCAGGGGTCCTCAAATCTTCTAAACAAAGGCTGAGTTCACGGTGAGGGAAGGAGGGGTTTGGACTGGTCAGAGGGAGAATAAAATGCCCCTTCATCCATGGTCATTGGGAGTAAACAATGCCCCAGGGCTGGTGAGAAGTGTGAGTAAGAAATATCCTAGTGCCTGTTTTGTTAGTGGGAGGAAGAATATTGCCCCATAGTTGGTGTCATGGAAAGGAATTGTACTCCATCGTTGGTATTAGTAGAAGCAAAAAGGTTGGGTAAAGGCCCACAGTTTGAGAACCACTGCGCTATGTAGACCTCATACTGGCCAAACAATGTGAAGAAAGACATTTGCTTACCAGGCATATAGGGTTACATTTAATCATTTGCTATTAGTGCCCTGCACTTTTATTTACATTTAATTCAGAAAATGAACCATCCTTCTCAATTTCCTAGCATTTATCAAATTACTAATGCCATGGAATAAAGACATGAAATGCAGCAATGTATAAAATATATATATTTTTTTAAATTAGATCATACACCCCCACACGCTATATCCATAATAGCCATTGCTGCTAAAATGCATTCAATCATACAAACAACTCAGACATACATGGCCATACAATAAAACTGGAGGAAAGACGTGTTTATATCAATACTCCAGCTGTCATTCTTCCAGAACAGAAGAAAATGAAAACTGGAACCTTATCATCACCAAACTTTATGGTGAACCTGTCACTGAATATAATATATCTAATAAATCCAAATGCTTAAAAAAACAAAAACAAAAAAAAACTACATTTCTGTTGAATTTAATGCCATTAAAAAAAAAAAAAAATACAATTTCTGTTTAATTTAGAAGCCAACTTTGGCAAGATTTTCTAGGACTTCAAAAGCCCCGAGTCAAAGGCGGCTTCTCTGCAAACACAGCAAGACTGCGATCTTTCCTTAACCCTTTCGCTGCCAAGGACGTATGGCATACGGACCTACAAAAGTGCTTCCAGCTGGCCAGCTCAGTATGCCGTACGAACACATACAAAATTATTAAAAAATAGAAAATGTAAAAAAATAAATAAAAAAAAAAAATGTGTACAAAAATAAAAAAAAGCACAACCCCTCCCTCCCACCACATAACATACACATATTGAGGTGTACGCCATGCACATGCGCTGCAGTGCGTTGTTAGAACGCATCACAGTGCATGATTTTTTTAATGTATTATACATTAACTGTGGCAGCGCATGGCAAAGCTTTGTGACGCATTGCCATGCGTTGTGATCTTTGTGTTGCAATAAATATACGCCTGTATCATTTTATCACAACACAAACACCAACACAGCGTGACATTTTTTTTTAACATAAGTTGCTTATTTACAGTTTTGCGTACCGTAATTTTTTTACCTTTTCGCAAAAAGGCCCAATTTCAAATTTGCAAATATTTGTTATTTATTAACTCAATACAGTTTTATCTTTTAGATTTAGTCAGAAAATTATTATTTTTTGTGCGCTGATAGTGATTTTAGTGTGTTTTATCAATTGAATTGTGTATTTTTATCGGTTTAATATTAATTTGAGAAACATTTGCGCAATTATCGCACGGCCTACAAATTTAGTATCACCATCTATTTATGCTACCGGGCCTGCGCTTTCAGAAAATACATGGTTTGGGGGGTCTTTTACAAACGCTAACAACGCAGCAGTGGAAAATCAAATCAATAGGAAAAAAATTGCAGAAAATTCAAAAATGGCTCGGCCAGCTGATTTGAAAAATGTTCGAGGGCTTGGCAGCGAAAGGGTTAAACTGTTTTTATACAGAAAACCTTCAAAAATCCATTTCCCTGTTTATGTGATTTGCTCATTGAGCTTGAGGTAAAATTTTAGACATGTGCCAACTGTCAGACAGCCCTTCATCTCTGCTGATCATGTTACCATCAACAAGGGTGCGGGGGAAACATGGTTCCTCGTATTACAAGAATGCTATCGATTGTTGCCCCCGTGGAAGACCACATGACTATCTGCTTCAAAGAGCTGGGGATCCCTAAAATTTTACCTCAAGCTCAGAGAGCTTTCTATCTGAGGTGATCAAATGACCATCTACAAGGGTGTTGGGGGTAACACTTTTTTTTTCCTATTACAAGAAGGGGACTGATTGTTCCCCTGTACTCGGTAGAGGATTACCTACTTCTGTTATTGGCTCACAGAGCTGGGGATGCCTAAAATGTTTACTTCTAGCTCTGTCAGAGAGCCTTCCATCTCTGGTGATCATGCAACAAGGGTTCTGGGGAAGCACTGTTCCTCTTATTACAAGACAGGGCCTGTTTGCTTCACTGGAACACCAATAGAAGTTTAAATGATCACCCGCCCTTTTGATTGCTCATTGAGCTGAAGGTAAAGGTGCCCATACACTGCACGATTATCGTACGATAATCGTATGCGATCGGTTTTTCGTACGATAATCGAGCAGTGTGAACGGAGACGTGCGACCGTTTCTACTGTACGATCGCACGTCTTCTGTCGAACCAGCATGTTCGAAAACCAGCCGGGAATCGTACGATTCTCGGCTGGTTAGAACGGTGCTTGGAAGATAAAATGCTGAACGGGCCGGTGTGCGCACGCGCACACTGCCCGTTCAGCATTGCGGTCATCGGAAGCCCCCCCTCAGGGGGGCGGGCTTGCGATGATCGAGAGTGCGATCTGCCTGTCCAAGATAGGCAGATCGTATGATTTTTTTAATCCCTTTACAACCATCGCAAGACTAAAGTCTTGCGATGGTTGTAGAGTGTATGGCCACCTTTAATGTTCAGGCATCCTCTGCTCCGTAATGAGCTTTTTAGCTCAGGTGATTACTTAACTTTAAACCTACAGAGGTGCTGGAAAAGAAAAATGTTCCTTTTGTTACAACTCTGGGACCAATCGAGTGTTTATACCAGGGGTAGCCAAACATCGGCCCTCCAGAAGTGGTAGCACTACAAATCCCATAAGGCATTGCAAGATTCTCAAAGCCAGACATGACTCCTGGAGAGAGATTCAACATGGGATTTGTAGTTACCCACAGCTGGAGGGCCGAAGTTTGGCTACCCCTGGTTTATACCAAGCTACTACACAGGCGTAGTTCTGAGGATCTTCACAACAGAAGCAGCTAAGAATCTGAAGATTGCTAAAAATCTTTGCTATGTGTAGTGCTAGTTGCCAAAACCAAATTAATGGATTTTTTTTTACTTTAAGGAGCACCATAAATACGTGTAGCTATGCACCAGTTATCTTCTGTATTGTTGAGGATCCCATGAGCCTGGCCACCCTCCTCAAGAAGGACGAGGCATTGGCTTTTCTGAATTCAGAGCTTCAACATACCTCTTGCCACCCTACTGTCCAAAAGAGCCCCTCAGTGGATAGAGATGTGCATAGGTGGACAGTGGGATGGCACAGGATGTGATGGGGCTCTGAAGTCAGAGACGTTGTGGTTCCCTCAACTTCAGGTTCATGGCTTACTGTTCCTAATTCATAGTCTACGTTGCAAACACTATAAACAGTGACAAGTTCACAGTAAAGTGGATCTGTGAGGACAGAAGTGCGGAAGCTGCCATTGCTGCTGAAGGTACAGGCCACATGACTGCCATTTTGTTTGTAGATTCAGTAACTGAGGAGTTACTGATCCAGGAAAATGACAATCAACTTGAAAGCCTTGGAGCCAAAAAACAACAACCCAGCAATGGTCATAATTCTGTCCTAACAAGTTCTCGATCATCTCCTCCAGTTTTCACAAAAACCATCTCATTGCATCCTCAGCGGATGTCCGTCCATGTTACCTATCTCTGCCAGGTCCCAAATGTTTTGCTCCATCATTAGAGGGCATCGGACATGAGGTCATCCAGGACTCTGATACAAAATTGAATGAGCCAGCAGAATCATGACCATAGTCATACGTATAATCATAGCCTTCAAAAGAACAGTAGGAAAGATGTTTTTTAAATCATAATTTCTTATGGACTGTGATAACTTATCTAAAGGGTTACTCCAACTTTATACACTTTTCTGATACTCTAAAGTTGATACTATAAACCAGGGCAGGAAAATAAAACATTTTATGAATAGCCTTCATTACCCATTGCATGCGAGGCATAAAAAATAAATAGATTGTGAGAGTGTACTTGCTCGTGGGCAAAAAAAAAACCCCACAGAATGTTAAATACAGTTGTAATCAAATTATTCAACGCCCATTGAAAATCAGCTTTATTGGCAAAATTTACAAAAAAACTTTCATTAGTTTGCAATGAACAAATCAAACAAAAGCAATTGAAATAGGTGAACACAACGAATGCTTCAAGTGGGTTCCCCAAATTAAACTGAAAATGCAACTTCGAATGACTTCTGCAGCCTCAACATTATTTATTCCCTTCATAGCAAACAACTTTTGTACTTAGTAGAGCACCATTTTGCTGTTATGACCTCCTACAAATGAGATACACCGACTTCTGGCAGCGTTCCTGAGGAATCATAGCCTGTTCCTCATGAGCTATGGCCTCTAGTTCACTAATATTCATAGGTTTGCGTGCTGCAACCTCCTTCAAATCCCTCCAGAGATTTTCTATGGGGTTCAAGTCAGGTGGCTGTGATGGCCACTGTAGAATCTTCCAGGACGACTTCTGAAAACAAAAGTTTGTACATTTTGCTAATAAACCTAATTTGCAATGGGGGTTGAATAATTTTGATCACAACTGTATTACAAACAAGATACCTAAATGGATAGCATTAGTAAATGCCATTGAGAGCTGTGGGAGGGACCCAACAAATCCCACCCACTACAGGCTCTCTGCAGAAAACTACAGGAGGGGCGTAGACAAGACCAGTCACTCTGCACAAGGAGAGCACGCAGCAGTGACCGGTCTTTATTACAGGAGGGGGCGTAGACAAGACCAGTCACTCTGCACAAGGAGAGCACGCAGCAGTGACCGGTCTTTATTACAGGAGGGGGCGTAGACAAGACCAGTCACTCTGCACAAGGAGAGCACGCAGCAGTGACCGGTCTTTATTACAGAGGGGGCGTAGACAAGACCAGTCACACTGCACAAGGAGAGCACGCAGCAGTGAACGGTCTTTATTACAGAAAGCTCCAAGTGTCACACTGGATTACTCTACACAAACCTCACCAAGATTCCAAAAGGAATACACACGACTCTTGGACGAGGACAATATTTCAGTATCCTAGAGCTCAGCTTTAAAATAGCTACTGGGAACACTTCAAATGGAGGTAATGAACACAATTTATAAACATTGTTAATGAACCGCCCTGTTTTACAGCATCAAATTCATCATAAACTTGGAGTTACATTCTAACTAAAGCCTGGAAAGCCACAGAAAGACAAACTGACAGCTAGCAGCAGAGTGGGCAGCAAAGAGAAACGAGATCACTGTAGGAAAAAGTCAAAATGATGCAATTGCAAATATAAAATTACAGAATCCTATATTCTTTAACTAAGAACAACCAATCAGATGATACCTGAGGGAAAAAAATGGAAATTTTGGAAGCCTGACATCCAATTCAGTAAGTGGCAATGATTTGCTACTGAGGGAAGAACCATGAAAGCAGTCGTCTGGTAGATACGTCTACCCACCCCGCTAAAGAACCAGATTACTTGGCAGTGAAATGTCCAATTGTCTGATGGGACCCCCCCAATCTCCTCACTTAGTCCCACTTTTGTGAAAATATACGGTATATTGATGCATGTGAACGGCTTTATTCTCTCCCATATATAGGGGCGTAATCAGAATTCTTGTATTAACCCCACAGGATCTATATATCTCACTAGCAAATCAAAATGCCATAACCAGTTAGCATTTACTGCAGTAAGGTCTCACCTTCTGGCTGGTGGAGGTCTATGCTGGAAGGAGGAGGAAACGGAGAAACATACTACCAGTTACCTGTGCATCCCGGATTTACTTCATGCGTCAGCTGTTCCCTTGTACAAATGAATCCCATATTTACCCGAAATACTGTAAACAGCAGCATGGCGTTATTCATTTATGGGAGAGAAGTCTCCAAAAATTGAGAACTTGGTTCAACCCTCGCAGCAAAACAAAATTTGTAGAGATAACAACCTAGGGTGGCCACACGTGGGCAGATCTCTCCCTTAAAACAGGCGTGGAGTGATTTGCTCATGCTCGCAGGAATGTAGTGAGTACTTTCTTCCATATAAATGTAGAACGTTGATGCTCCTTGAATCCAACACATTATTTTATTATTATGTACCTGAACCTCATCCTGTACATTCTACTGCCAATAGGACGGTATATGGTCTACGGTGATACTGGGAAAATTCAAGAGAACAAACGGCCAGCAAACCTAAGGTTACAGACATGGCAATTCACTGAGGTCTTAGTTGCAATAACCACATTGTGCAAAAAAAAAAACAACAACAACTAAAAACACTGACATTTGGAGACAATGTGGACTATTTTCTCAAGGCCTGTCACTTAAAAAGCATTTTCCATCTGCCAGCCTATGTCATGACCGAGAGTAATCCCTCAGGGGCATTCCTCTTTGCTGGGGGACCCTGAGCAGTAACAGGTGTGTGCAGTACCCAGAGACTAATCTCCATGTATGATACTGCACACTCTACAAGTGGTAAATAAAACAAAGAAGCATTTTCCCTTTTACTGGGTCTGCCCCCGAAACAACAGGCCTCCTTTTCCCGGGTCTGCCCCCGAAACATCTCTCTCAAGGTCAGTCAGTAAAACTACAGGTCTCATCTATTAGGGCCTGTTCACATGAGATCAGGTGCTGATCAGCAGACGTGGAGCTGCTGATGCAGTGCGTTTTTGATGCGTTTTCGGTCCGGATGCGGAGTTAATTTTTTGTCAACGTTGATGACATCATAATAAGTGGAGCAAGAATACAATTTCTTCTTTTTTTCCCCCCCTTAGCTGCATTGCGTTTTCGTTGCGTTTCCGGACCGGACAAAATGTGACATGCAGTATTTTTTCTGTCGTAAGCTGAACGGACTGCGCACGTGAGAACTGGAGCCCATAAAACACATAGGGATACATTGGGATGCATTTTGAGTGCAGCAGCGTACGGAGCCGGTCAGCACACAAAACGGGCGTCGTGTGAACAGGCCCTTAAGGTCTTCCCTTCTCCAGGTCTGTCTGAATACTTAACCTTTTATGAATAATCCAATTTTCAATTGTGTGATTAATTGATAAGTGGAAATAGGTCTTAAAAAGGCAAGAGGAGAAAGAGAAATTGCCTGCTTTGCTGTATCTATGCGTTTTTGGAGACACATACACTTACTAGCACAGACAAGGGTGGCTCCATACGACCCTGCAAGGGAATCTTCTGTATGGGGCTATACAAGATCACTCCAGCTTGCAGGATTTGTTCAGAAAGTCTCCCTTTGCAACAACATGCACCTCTGTCCAGAGAGGCTTTTAACTGTCCTCAACTAGGTCATAAACCCCCCAACTAGGTCATAAACCCCCAACTAGGTCATAAACCACCAGCCATTTCAAAGTGATGCTTGCCTGTATTGGGTTGTACATGGCCACCCCTAGGTCAGATCATCTCATACAATAAAAAAAATAAAAAGAAAAAAACCACACCACCTTCGCCTCAAGGGAAAAGACAAAATCTATCAAACTGCATTCATCTCAAAAGCTTTAAATATATCTTAAAACCAAACTTCAATTTAATCAACTAAATACATTCCAGGCGCAGCAACAAAAAGGAATGCAAAGACTTAAAGTGCCCATACGCCTTACGATTATCGTACGATAATCGCGGGTGATCCCGCGATAATCGGCAGGTGTATGGAAGGCGTGCGACCGTTTCTACTGTATGGTCGCACGTCTTTTGTCTCCCGAGCAGGCTTGAAAACCCTGGTTAGTGGCGTTCTCGGGAGACAAATGCCGCACGGGCCGGTGTGCACAAGCGCACAATGCCCGCTCAGCATTGGCTTAACCCCTTCATGACTGAGGCCCTTTTTTCCATTTTTGTACCCATGTTATATTCCACATTTTAGGCCTGAAAAACTTCTTCGGTAAGTCGCCAGGATCGCTTCTGTTGTAAAGCCGACAGTCGGCTCTACAAGTTTAAACAGAGTCCCGGCGGCAAAAGTCACCGGGAGTCTGTTTAAACAGCCCTGATGCTGGCGACGTACACTGTACGTCGTCAGTCACGAAGGGGTTAATCGGAAAGCCCTCAGCGGTGAGGGCTTGTGATGATCGCCCTTTCCAAGATGGGCAGATCGTACGGGCTTTTAATTACCTTACAATCATCGCAGGATGAAAGTCGTGCCATGGTTGTAAGGTGCCTATACACCTTACAACCAGCCCATTAAATTGTTTCGTACGATTGAACCATCGTATGAGTTTCGTACAACTGCCCCATCATGCACAGATCATTGAGGATTTCAATTAGCGTTCGTTAGCAATATCACCGATTGACAGAACGGACTTTTGTTTGCGCATGAGCAGTGTTCTTGGTGTGATCTTTCCGTACGAAAACGCCAGTAATCTGTCGAATTTCGTACGATTTGACAGAAGTTTTCTAGCCTGCTGGAAAGACAACAAGTCGAACGGTTGTACAGTAAATGCGGTTGTGCATTACTCATCAACTGTGCAATTTTCTTACAAAAACGCAATCGCAAATCGGGTGTTAATCGTTAGGTGTATGGGCACACCATCGTGTTGCTGTAACGAGTGGTGGAGGTGCACCTGTCCGAGTGCAGCAAGTTGTGGTGGCTTTCATTTTGATAATGAATGTTACGGTGCAACCATTACTACAGGGGTGGACACATTAATTCAGGAGCCAGCAGAATTTTTGGTTTTTCAGGAGCAAACCGCATTGACAACAACCAGTGAAATCCCCAAAAGATAGGTAACCAATGCATCATACAAATTACAGGTAGAGCCTAACTCATGGGATTTGTGAATGGGCCTTTACAGTTTTTTTTTTTGTACAAAGCAGCTATTTCCAAGTGTAAAAAGAAACCTGTCCCCTGCCAATATGCTGCTGAGAAGGACCCTTGCTCTGTGTTAAAGCAGCGGTCTCTCTGCAAAGGTCCGACATGCCCTCCCACCTTGATTGGACAGACTGTCCCCTGAATATTAATTTGTTTCACCCAGAGTTAAGGTGCCCACACACACACACCTTACAATTTATCTGCAGATTTTCTGTGGTCAGATGGAAAAAGTGCAACAGATTGGCCCAGGTGGAGATTACTCCATCCACACAGCTAAGTGTAGATGGAGGAATCTGTTGCACCTTTTCCATCTGACCAGAGAAAATCTGCAGATAAATTGTAAGGTGTGTGGGCCATTACCCTCTGCTGCAGCCAGTATACGATCTGTACTCTCAACACTGCAGCCCAGCATCGAAAAACAATGCTTGCAAATGGCGAACACTCATTGGCCAGCATGGTCATGGTAAATGTGCTGACCAATGAGTGCTTGCCATTTGCAAACATTATTCTAGATGCAGATTGCTGCGTTGCAGTGTGGTGTACAGATTGTACAGCGCTGAAGCAGGGGGGTGGGCGGTTCCCACTTTTGGTGGGGACCTTTACTTCCTGGAACTCTGGCACATGTGACCATGTACATCATCTCAGGGGATATGCTTTTCCCTGAGATTACAGATGAGATTTCCCAGCAATTCTCTGCTGATGCAACTTTCCCAGGATGCAACGCTGGGGCACATGACATCACTTATGCCTGAGAGGACCAGGAAGTGGAAAAACAGTAATTGTAAGTAAAAGAATGTTTAATGAATGTGTGGTGATTTCATATCAGCTTATCGGAGCTGCATGCTGGGGTAATTTTTAAGGTTAAGGTCCGCTTTAATGATTTCGTATTCTCTTTCAAGCAATATATTCCTCTACTAAAATCAATAAAATACACAATAAAAGTAATACAGCAGAGCATCAAATAGATAAAAATGCAAAAAAAGATTTAAAAAAAAAAAAAAGAACTAAAATGGATTTTCTGGTAAATGTTACAACAATTTATCAAAATATCTACTTACTGAAGGTCCCCTAGTTTCCTTTGCATGGCATTGAAAGGTACTGCATTATAGAACGTTACCTGTTAAATAACAAGCAAAGGAAAACGGAAGGAACTAAACCTGGACCATTCAATAAAATGAATGACACTGAAGCTGCGGCTGAAATATTGCTGCTGACTAATTAGAAGGTGGAGCTCACTGGAGCAGGCTCTGTTGCAGGAAAAGAAAAGGTATAGCGGAGGTGAATAGGAGGAATGAATGAAGCCATGAAGAGGCACCTGTAAGGACTCAGACATACAACTGCTGACAGACAGGTCTAGGCACAAAGGCTTACAAAAGGTCACAAAGACAAAACAGCAAAACTGTAGAATATATAGTGTCTAGATAAAAATAATGTCAGAGCGAACACGTGCTTTATCTAAATCTACACTTGCTGCCACCTTCCCATATAAGGTTGCTGTCACTTGGCTATGGAGGCCTCCATTTCTTGAGCCATCCGCCCCTCTAATGGGTGTCTTGTTGGACAATAAGCCAACCTCTCCTACCGATCCTCCTACCAATATATACGGAGTGGTGGTCGGGATCCTCCTACCATTATATGCGGACAAAATACAGAGGGGATCAGGATCCTCCTACCAATATACAGAGGGGATCAGGATCCTCCTAATAACATAGAGCATGGAAATCTAGGGGCGAGGACAAAGGACAGTACAAAGAGCACATGTGACAGCAAGCGAGCAGTGGCCCTCCAGCAACAACATACAGCATGGCCTGCCAGCCATGTCACATACAGCCACATATGCCTTGCTTTGCCTCTGCCATACAAACAAACACACACACAGGCAGTGGCCGGCAGGACATGCTGCTTCTCGCATTCCCCCCCCGGTGTGTATGTAGACCCGTCTCCCCGCACCGTCACCTCCCGAGCCGCCTCTTCCTCTACCCGCCATCCTGTAGCTCAGCTGCAACCTGCAGGCACTAACTCCGCCCTCCCCAATAAGTACTGTCCTCCCTGATCAGCCTTCCTTAGGCTGCCATTGGCTGCACCGCCGGTCATCTACGTCAGTGACGGCTGATTGGTTGAAATGCGTAGTCGCTGGCGTCTTGTCTTTGTTGGAAAGCGTACGTCTCTGAGTGACGTGATCTGGTGTCATGTGACGTGATTGTAATGCGGCCCACTATAGAGAGAGGAGAGAGGGGAGAGAGGAGAGGTTTAAAGAGGACTTCCGGTTCATGGAAGAGTGTTCTGGCTGGGTCATTTAAAGTTTCTATCACGGCTAAAATAATATATTTTCAGTAAATTTCTGCAATACCCGCACATTCCACCATTTCTTTTTTATATCCCTTGGAAGACACTGATATCAGAATTGGAAGACTTCAACTGGTTACATAACATACAATGGAAGCTTTAGACTAAGGGACATTCCCCTTCACTTCCTGTCCAAAAGCCACGACAGGAAGTGAAAGGAATTCCAGGTTAAATACATTTTAGCATGTAATAGACTGTCGTCTCCAAACAGAACCAAGGTTAAACATTACCAAACCGCCATGCTTAGTCTTCAAGGCTCAAGCAGCAATACCTTACACCAGGTGTAGCCAAACTCCCGGCCCTCAAGCTGTGGTGACACTACAAATCCCATAATGCCTCTGGGAGTCATGCCCGTGACTGTCAAGAGTGTTGCCATGCCTCATGGGATTTGTAGCTGCACCACAGCTGGAGGGCCGGAGTTTGCCTTACACCAACCAAAATGACCATTTACCAGTCACAAAGTGGGTGACGTTACCTCATAACGATTGGTGGCAAGAAGGGTAAAAAGAGAAGGGGGGAGCAGGTCAAATGATGGCCGAAGCTTATCCTGAGGTGAATCCAGCTGCCAGTCCTGAGGTAACTGCTGACTCCGCCCACTGACAGAAGTGACCATAGACAGGAAAGGTTGCACTCATTGACCAGCTGTTTTCCCGCCAAAAGATCTGTCACCAATCCTGTTGCTTGGCTGTCTGAAGATCTGCCCAGCAACTGAGGTAAATCTGCACAGCAACAGCTTGTAACCTGAAGGACAAACCAGGGGGAAAAAAAAGCAGCAGAGCGGCTTCTGACAGACATGGAAGTCACCACAGACTTCTAATTGAATATAAAGTGTCATTGCACCAGGTTTTCTAAATTTATCTAATGGTTTGCAATGGATCGATTCACACCTTGCGTTTAGATGCAGTCACTTTAGCTGCCTATAGAAAAAATGGAAGTCAGGCGCGTCCAAGAAACAATTTTAGCTTTAACCAGTTGACATCCGCGGTGTTAAACCCCCTTCCTGGCCAGGCCATTTTTCAGTATTCAGCGCTGCGGTACTTTGACTGACATTTATTCCGTCATGCAGCGCTGTACTGAAATTAATTTTATACCCTTTTTTGGGGACACATAGAGCTTATTACTATATTAAGGAAAAATTAAAAATTAAAAAAAAAAAAAACTGTTTCCCCTATATTAAATGATAAAACATTTATAATTTCCCAATTTTTTGGTAAAATATAAAAGACGGGGTCACGTCGGGTAAAGAGACACCAAACATGTCAAGACTTAAAATATCGCACGCGCGCGAAACCTCAAAAAAACTAAATTACCCAAAATTGGCCATAGGCGACGCATTAAAAGCTTCTACCGCTCATCAGTTTAGTGTTATCAGTGACTGATGGTCCTAAAATGATTTCTTTCACTGCGACGTTCGCGGCGATATGTAACATGTGTAGCGCAATTGTCATTTTCGCGTGCTGGATGCCCGTGCGCGCGCTAGGGGGCGCGCACGAGCAGGAAAAAAATGCCGTCTGGCAACCCTCAGATAGGAGTCTGCCGTCCGTCCGTTTTTTCTTAACGGGCGGACGGCAAGAGGTTAAAACGCATGTAAACGCAAGACACATCTATTTGCTGAAATCTCATTGGCTACTTAAAGCGGACCTTTACCCCAAAATAACAACAAACACACCTTTAGAAATGATGTGATGAGAATCTACACACAGATACTTCTAGATAATTGCCGGCTTTGTATTCTTTGCATTTCTTATTTCTCTTTTCATTCCCAGTATTCTGACAGTGGCCATTTTTAGTAAGGGCAAATGAATCCACCTCCCTTTACTTCCTGGAACTCAGCACATGTGACTAGGACATGTGACCATGCACATCATCTCAGGGGAGGTAAATGTCTTTCTCTGAGATCTCTTGAGATTACAGATGAGATTTCCCAGCAATGCTCTGCTGATGATGAGGCAATCCCAGTGTGCATTGCTTTGGCAAACTGAAGTCATTTTGCCCTTTCAAAGCAGGAAGTGAACGCTCTGCAAGTGTCAGTATTTCACAATCACCTGACATGTCTATGGTATTATTAACCACTTCCGGGGCCGCAATACGTCTATAGACGGCGGCCCGTTAAAGTGGTTAAAACAAGAACACGGCTTCATTTCTAAGCAGCCCCTGAGGAGGCTTTCCTTGAAGAGAAGTAACAGCCTCAATGGCAATGCTTCCTTCACAAAGGGCGGTCGCCATATTTCCCCCTCCAGGGAGTGTTTTTGGGCTGGTGCATTACATGAAGTCTGGATGAAAAACTGCATTTCTGAGTAGGTGGGCCGTGTTCTCTGTATGTAACGCCAGGCTGACAGCTGAACTCCGCCCACAATAATTTTTCTTCTGATAAGCCAAAAGTCACTTCTAAGTAGAAATGTCCGGATACCATTTCTTCAAGACCAAGTACAAGTGCTTTCCCTGCCAATAGCAATCTAGCTATTAGTTCCTATGCCGTTTGTTGTTGTTTTTTTTCTCTGACTGATGGCGACCCCGATGTAAAAAAAAAAAAAAACAGACAGCACGCTAGATCAAGCAGAGTAAACCTTTCCAGGAGAAAATGTTTCACTCCCGGGAGTGTCCCAGAGCCGATATCTAATAGCGGGAGACTCCTGGAACATCCGGGAGAGTTGAGATGTCTGTATATTGGTAGGAGGTACTTCCCGATACCAATTACCGATACTTGTTCTTAAATTGGACATGTGAAATTTTTTCTAAAACAATACAGACTGATGATTTCAGGGCAGTTTCTTTATATTTATATATATATATATATACATATATATTTATATATGAAGAACTGTAACTCAATCCATGATTATACAGCAATGGAGAATGGCAACCGGCAATAGAGTACTACAAATCTCAGAAATCCATGATTATACAGCAACTGCAGGACTGCATTCGCTTCTCACCAGGGCTGCGTTTCGGTGTCACTGGGCTGCGTGTGGGTCTCTCCAGGGCTGTACTGGCAGGTGCCGGGCGCTCCACAGATGCGTTTTTCGCATCTCACCAGGACTGCATGTGGGGCTCTCTAGGGCTGTGTTTGGGTTTCACCAGAGCTGCATGTGGGTCTTACCAGAGCTGCATGTGGGCCACTCCAGAGCTGTGTTTGGGTCTCACTAGGGTTGCATGTGGGTCTCTCCAGGGCTGTGTTTGGGTCTCACCAGAGCTGCATGTGGGTCTCTCCAGGGCTGCGCTTGGGTGTCACTAGGGTTGCAAGTGGGTCTCTCCAGTGCTGTGTTTGGGTCTCACCAGAGCTTCGTTTGGATGTCAGTAGGGCTGCATGTGGGTCTCTCCAGGGCTGCGCTTGGGTGTCACTAGGGTTGCAAGTGGGTCTCTCCAGTGATGTGTTTGGGTCTCACCAGAGCTGCGTTTGGGTCTCTCCAGGGCTGCGCTTGGGTGTCACTAGGGTTGCAAGTGGGTCTCTCCAGGGCTGTTTCGCTGTCACTAGGGTTGCATGTGGCTCTCTCCAGGGCTGCGTTTGGGTCTCACCAGAGCTGCGTTTGCGTGTCACCAGCAGGACCAGTGCAAGGATTTTTGCCTACACAGGCGAAGGTGCATTAATTTTTTTCCGCCCTCAGGCAGCCGCTTGACTTGCCTTGCGGTAGCGCCGGGCCTGGTCACCAGGACTGCATGTGGGTCTCTCCAGAGCTGCATTTGGGTATCACCAGAGCTGCATGTGGCTCTCTCCAGGGCTGTGTTTGGGTCTCTCCAGAGCTGCGTCTGGGTGTCACTAGGACTGCATGTGGGGCTCTCCAGGGCTGTGCCGGTCTCGGGAAGGAGTAGATGTCAAAGACCGCTACCGCAACGTCCCGAGTAGGCTGCCTGAGGCTCTCAGGAAGTGCGGGAGTTCAGGCAGTCAAAGTCATTTAAAAAATTTCAAGCGCTGCCATCGGCGCTATGTACCTGGGCATTTTCTGATCTCAGCACCACGCTAGTGTTCCCACCCCCTGTGTTCATACAAACAAACAAAAAACCCAAACTATGATGATGCAACAGAATCCTCAGACTGGGTTTCTTGAATGACATTGCAGCGTCATGACAGCCCAAAATGGGAAGAGCACACAGAGGGGTAGAGACAAGATCGCTGTGTTGAGGTTCTGCTGCAAGACTGGCTCGCAGGGGGGAGCTTCTATATTGTATATGATTATCAGAGCAAAGACAATGACTAAGGACACGCTGCTTAGATAAGTGAAAAATTACGAATCCAAAAGATATTAAAAATGTTGTGCCTGGAATTCAACTTTAACATTTCCACCACTCATTCTGAACATGATTACCTCTGGTCCATAAAACCTCCTCCGTGGTCCCAGATCTCTTTCACTTTGCAGTTACGGTCTTGAGTTGGGGCAGAAGTCCCACTTTTACCTGTTTTAATATTTTTTTACCAAAGTACTGTCGTCTGCAACACTCCATGTGAAGAACCGTAGCAGGGAATTGTTATATAAAGTTAGCTAAACGCCCCTCCATGTTTCACAGTTGGTAGGAGGTTCATCTCCTGAAATGCTATCTTAGGTTTGCACCAAACACGCCAAATGACCCGACAACTATCTTTCCTGGCACACGTCAGGCTAAATTGGTGTAACCACTTTTGGGGTTATTCACAAAAGTGTGAAGGGTTAGGAGAAGGCAGG